TTTCTGTCTTGCAGAGATGTAAACTTTTTTTGTCTGTTCTTTTTCACTATGTATCCTTAATGTAAAGGAATGTGAATGGGTAGTCATAAGGGAGAAGTTCTTTATTTCTGTTTTTTGTTTTATTGCCTTTGATCATTTGTATATGGTTATTGTCAAGTAAGATGTGTAGAATTTAGTGATTCTATGTATAGGTATATACTATCTGGAATGCATATATTTTAGATTATTCATGTGTTGTATACATGATGTAGCTTAAGTAGAACACACTTTTGTGTCCAGTTTGATTGCATACAACCTTGCATCTTCTTGTCTCCTCTCATTACTTCTACTCTCTGCCAATATAAATCTTATTTTTTTTTGTTTGTTTGTTTTTTTTTTCAGTACTGGGGATAGAGCTTGGGACCTTGCATTTGTGAGGCAGGAGGTGGCACACCTAGCTAAATCACCTTAGCTAAATCCCTGGCCCATTATTCTTTCTTTTCTTTTCTTTTTGTACCAGGAATCAAACTCAGGACCTTGCACTTGCCAGGCAGGCAATGGAACCGCAGAGCTAAATTCTTTGCCTTATTGTCTTTTAAATCTCACCGTCTTTAAATAGGACACATATGTGCAAATACCAAATAGTTTCTCTAGTGTGAGAAACTAAAAGTGTAAATAAGGACTAAAAGGTATAATAGAAAATGTGAAATACAGCGAACAGGTGCAAAGGGGAAGGGGAAGTTGTAGGGATGGGGAAAAGGAAAATGGGAATAGAATTAACATGAGAACAAAATGGAAACAAAGTCTTTGTAGATAAGGAGGGGTGGATGGGTTGAAGGGAGGGCGGGAGAATGGGGAAAATATAAGAATCAAGCTGGTTTATGTAAAAGTGTATATTTCCAATGATGAATGTCATTACATTATATACGTTAAATGTACCAATAAAATTTAATTAATTAAAAGAGGAAAAAAAAAAAGAAAAACATTCACCTTCTCTGGGAGAGCTTTCTTTTCCCTAATCCTTGTTAGTGTTGAGGGTTGAGGGCGGTACTAGTTTAGCATTGTTATGATTTATTATGTTCTTTGATTTTGTTAGAGATGATTTACTTTTTCTTCCAAATTAACATCTTCTTTCCCTGCTGTTCAGCATGGTACAGACGGTGATTAGTATGAACCGAAAGAACATTTTATTGAAGCAAGCAGTTTAGTACAGGTGTTTATCGAGTGCCTTCTCTGTGCCAGTCACTAGAGCTTTACATGAGATGAAACAAAAATGGACCTTGTCCTGGTAAGACCTGAGCCTAGGAAAGCAGTTTCTGGTCTGATGGAATTTAAATTTAAAATGCCCCCCTTACTAATAATCAGTGAGTTCATGTACAGTTCTACTAGGAGGAATGCTGCCCTAGGGCACAGCTCTTCATTTCAGTCAGATATATTCCAAGCGCATGGTACAGTGCTTAATATATAGAAAGTGTTCAGTAAATATTTCTTAAAAGAACTTTAAAATTTTTTATGTAGGGCCATTCTTGCAAAACTGTGAGTGCATGTGGATCATAGTGTATACCTTCTACTTTCTTGATGTGCCTCTTCTGTTCTTGCATCATCTAAAATCAGTCTTGATTATTCTCCCGTGAATATTACATGTACTCTATTTTTATATAAATTTTAACCAATTTGTTTTACTTATAAAGGCAAATCAGATAGTTCTGTATCAGTACTTATAGTTAATGGCTACATATTTTATTTTCTAGATATACTGTAATTTATTTAATCAGAGCCCTATAAATGGACTTTTATTTCTGATCTTTTTCTTTTATAACTCTACAATAAACAGAATAGCAATAAATATATTTGCTCATAGTCATTTTGTGTCTTTTGCATGTAGGAATTTTAGTCTACTTTTCTAAAAGTGGAATTCTTCATAAGGGTGAAAGGTTAATGCAGTTGCAATTTTGATAGAGAATGATAATGACAAATTGACCTTCCTCTACAGAGAGTATTGGGATGCCATTTGCTATACTTTTACTAACACTGTATTTTTTCTCAATATTTGTAAAAACACAAAAATGAATGTATTTTCTGATGTCATAGGTGAAAAATATCTCTTGTGACTTTAATTTGCATTTCTTTTGTGTGACTAAATTGAAATGTGTTTATGAGCTTGTTTTGTTTGCTTCTTTCTTTTTTTGACAGTGTTGGTGATCAACCCAGGCCATGTGTGTGCTAGGCAAGCATTTTGCCCCTGAGCTACACCGAGGTCCCTACTTACTTTCTTTTTTTTAAAATGTGTTCTGTCTTTATAATATTTGCCCATTATTCTCTTTAGCTATTGATTCTCATCATATTGGTGTATAAGAGCTCTTTATGGGGCCAAAGATTTAGCTCAGTGGCACCGTACCTGCCTCGCAAGCACAAGGTCCTGAGTTCAATCCCCAGTACTGGGGGAAATAATAATAAAAAATAATATTAGCTCTTTATATATAAAGGCAAACATTTCTTTTTGCTTGTATTTTCCTATATACAGTAGTCCTTCCTTATCTTTGACTTCAGTGTTTGTGGTTTCAGTTACCTGTGGTCAACTGCAGTCCAAAACTATTAAATGGCAAATTCCGGAAATAAATCATAAGTTATACATTTCATGACTCCTCTCTGAATATTGTTAGGAAATCTCATGACTTTCTCCTCCTTCCCACCAAGGATGTAAATCATCCCCTTTGTCCAGCATATCCATGCCATGGTATGCTTCCTGCTCTTAGTCACTTAGCCCTTTTAGTTATTAGATCAGTTGTTACATTGCAATGTTTGTGTTCAATTAGTCCATATTTTACTTAATGGCCCCAAAGTGCAAGAGTAGTCATGTTGGTAATTTGGATAGGGTGAAGAGGTATAAAGTGCTTCCTTTAAGTGAAAAGGTGAATGATAAAATATTTTAAGATACTGCTTTATTTTTATGATAGTTATTGTTAATCTCTTATGAGAAGTTATTTCAATTTCTGAAAGTTAAATTTTTATCATAGGTACACAGGTATAGGAAGAAAATAATGTATATAGATTCAGTAATATCCCTAGTTTCTGGCTAGAAACCCCTAGTTTCTTGGGAGCTTAGGATGTATCCTGAATGACTAAAGCATAAGAGGGCACTGCTGTAGTATAACATCAAGTTGTTAGTTGCAAACACCACTCACTCTTCTAAAAACCATTCAATTTGATCTTTGTTTTGATTAAGTCAAATTTATGAGTAAATTTAGGAATCCATGATGTTCTATCCTTTCCCAAGAACATAGTCATGTCTTAACATCTGTTATAACCTTTTGTGCCCTATAATTATAAAGATTTTTTTCATAAATTAGGTGTATGTGTGTATATATATATATATATATATATATATAT